CAAATTCTCAAAAGACCTTCATAACTGCTACATATGATATTCTCAATCGTATTTTCTTCAAAAAATCCACAATCTTGTAAACTATGCAACCAGGGATGATTATAGTCCCACTCGGAAAATTCTCTGAACACGAAATCCTGCCTAGTCGAGTCATTACTAGGTCCTAGAGTTGGCAGCTCGACTATCTGGCTCAGCTCCTCCTGGGCCTGCACCTCTTCATTCATCGTCGAAACATCTTCTGATGATGAATTTACCAAGGATGATGAGGATGATGATGAGGACGATGTCTGCTGAGTGCAGAGGTGGACCATGTTGGCGGCCTTGGTGGCAGCAGCCTGGATATCACGCGGGGAGGAGGTGGCGGGGCGAGGCAACAAGTGGGATATCTCCGGGAAGTTGAGAATGGCGGCTCCACCCTTGATGGCGATGGCGGCCACGTCGTGCGCCCGAGCAGCCATTTCCGGGGTTGCAAAAGTCCCGAGCCAGATCCTAGACTTTTTCTTGGGCTCTCGGATCTCGGATACCCATTTTCCCCATGCCCGTATTCGCACTCCTCTGTAAACTGGATGCTTGCTATTAGCATTACTACTGTTACTGCTTTTGCTTCTCTTTTCACCATCATTTCTCCCATTCAACTCGGCATCGTTGCTGCCTCGTTTTGGGCTGTGTTTTTTGTTCGAATTTGTTAAGGAGATTGAGCTACTCCACCAAGAATTCGAGTTTGATAGATCAGGCTCAGCCATGGAGAAAAAATGATGTGGAAAATATTGTAGAAGATAGTGGTAGGTGTTAGAGAAGAGCACGTATATATACATACATATAATGAAGTATAATTGAAATTTACATGTGTTTTCAGTGTTAATTAGTTTGCATAAATAGGGGAGAAAAATTATTGTATACTATTTACTCATGACTGGATCCCAATTAAATAATGACTTTCACGCATATGGTTGACCCCATTTTCTGCCACGATACATTTTGAAATGTATTTTGTCGGAGAATGTATAGTTAAAAAATAAATTAAATTTGTGTATAATATTATTTTATTGAAAAATGTGTGATTGAAAATAAAAGATAGAAAAATATATTTTGAAAATAATGAATAACAGCGTTAAAGAATTTTTTGTTTCTTTTTAGTTGGTAAGGGTTGAAATCCTCCCACCCACAACGTATTTTTTCTTTAGAGAATTTGTACAATTAGTTCCTAACATTTTTGCGTTTTCAGAAATTCGACCTTTAAAATAGACTTTTTAGTCCCCAACTTTAAGTTCTGTTTGCATTTCATCCTTTTTACATAATTTTAAATTTTTTCTTAAGTGAGATACACAAGCTAACCTTTCGAAGGGTAAAGTTTGCAAAATACTATGCTTAACATAATCTTTCGAACCTAAATACTTCATTTATTTATAATTCCAAATTTGAAAGAAAATTCTTTCCTTTTTGAAGCACAAATCTCGTCAAAATTAGTTGAATTTATGGCTATTTACTAAGAAAGAGTGACAAAAAGTTTACTATAAGATGATCATAGTAACAGTAATTTTTCAAATTTATTTATAATTAACTCAAGCATAGTTATTTTGTATCTCGTTTTTGCTTTATTTTTGTATTTATGTACACGAAAACTATGATTTCCATTTATTTTCTCATTTTTTCCACAAAAAAAGCCTCTTGTTGGGGCCCACACTAATTAGAGAGTGCTATAAAATTTACAGCCCTCTAAACACTGTACATGTAGTGCAGTTCTTATTTCTATTATTCAGGTTCTGTAAAATCAAAATTTGATAAGTTGATTTGTTTATATAAAATGTTAATAATTCAATTTTTGGTTTTCTTCGCTATTTTATTTGTATTTTTATTTACAAGTAACACAAAGTTGATTGCTTTTATATATTTTGAACAAAATATGTAGCTCTATTATTTTCTTCTAATGTCACTATGTTTGTCGGCTATAACTATGTCGTCAACGGTCGACTGTACGTAATCGGCCCTCCAAACCAAAAATTCTAGCTATACTTCCCAACACAATCGAATCAACCTCAACCCTTTACCCAGACAGAGTTTCATAATGACCTTGCACAATTAGTACGTAATTTAAAGATCGTGTGCAAGTCAACGTAGAAAATATAAAGAATTAAGGATCAAATATTCGAACTAGTGTCGAACTCGTAGTAAAAAATAAAAATACAAAATTCTGAATAATTTTGTATTTTCCAGACTTTTAGCTGTAACCAAACTAGTTTCATGATCGTTTTCTAATTTTCAATTTAATAAGCCATTAATTTTAATTCGGTTTTCAAAATACAATGCACAATTCGGTTTTATTATTATCTGATTTCATATACCAAATATGTCATATATTTGAAGATGAAAATATGAGATTAGATTTACAGCCTTGCGGAACCTTTGGTTAGGTTTGATTAGGCTAGATGGCCTTGTACAGTATTAAGATGAAAAAAATTAATAACTTGAATATTTAGTGATGGTACCAAAAATCATACATGTTGATTTTCGAGTTTGAAGATTTAGAATGAGCACGAACAGAACCTTCCAGTACTTGAAACGAAGGCGTCGAGGTGTATTATCGTCATCCCTCTAATGCTTGAGTTAGAGAAAGAATTTATGTAAAAGTTTATATGCTTCAAATTATGTAAAATTGTACTTGAATAATCCAATGTCATGTATTTACAGAGATAGGTAGTACACTCCTAGTAGGATTAAGTAGTGCACTCATAGTAGGATAAATCGATTGAGCATTCTTATCTAATTAAAGAGTTGTGAAGTGTTTTGGAGTCTTTTCATACCTAGGAGTTGTAATTTGATTGGAGTTGTGATATAGGTGTGTTTGGATAATCACAAAACTTTAGTGGTAGAGTCTTATTAGATTAGGTGACCTGATAGAGAATGATGGAAAATGATAGTGAGGGGCACGAGATGTCCAAGGGCTTCAAGGCCGAGCTCGAGCTCACTCATATGAGTCCGCAGACGTTCTAGCCTAGGGAGAGAGCTCGAGGTCATGACCTCGAGCCCGACCACATAAACTCGAGGATGTTCGGCCCTAGGAGAGTGCTCGAGGTTATCATGACCTCGAGCATGAGGTCGTGAGTGGTCGAGTCATACAAAAATTATACACATCACATAGGCCATCGTGCATTCATATCAAGAGCTCGTGCGCAATGTGTGAGTTTCTAGAATGATATGCACAAGTACGTTGGGTTCAAAAATAGGCATGCTCATGATAAAGAATATGCAAGCTCAAGCCGAGAAATAGGCATGCTCATGCCAAGAAGTAGGTATGCCCATACCAAGGATTAGGTATGCCCATGCCTACAGGTAGACATGCTCATGGCAAAAGGTAGGCATGCTCATACTTAGAAATATGCATGCTCAATTCAAGAATTAGGCATGCTCATGTCAAGAAATAAGCTTGCTCAAGCCAAGGAGTATGCATGCTCATGCCAAGGATTATGCATGTTCATGTCAAGAGGCTTGTCCATGCCTAAAAATAGGCATGCTCAAGCCAAGGAATATGCATGCTCATGTCAAGGAATATGCATGATCATGCCTAAAAGTAGGTATGCTAATACCAAGGATTAGACATATTTATGCCAAGAAGTAGGCATGCTCATGCCGAGTTGATAGGCCCTCGAGCACATAGATCTAGGATAGCATGTCCTCACCATATTAAAATTTTAAAAGGAATGATGTTGTATCTGACGTTGTTAAAAATTTGGAAGGAAGGGAAGTGGATCCTGGCCTTGTTTAAACTTTAGAAGGAATGGGAGTGTACCCCGACCTTATTAAAAATTTTGAAATGAAGGGGTTAGACCCCACCTCATTTTCTGACCTTATTTAAAATTTGAAAGGAAGGGGTTTGTACTTCGGCCTTGTTTTAAAATTTATACATATGATGTTTTATAGCCTTCGGGGTTATAAGGTTGAGGTGCTTGTACGGGGCAAAGCTTTATGTGCTTGCTCGGGATAAGGTTTGAGGTGATTGCACAAGGCAAGGCTTGATGTGCTTGCTCGGGGCAAGGCTTGAGGTTCTTTCTCAGGTAAGGTTTTAGCAACATTACAAATGAAAAAATTGACTTTATTGGGATAAGATCTCGATGACTACTTAATTGAACGTAACTTGACCCAACTAGAAATTAAATATGGGCACACAGGCCCGAAAAATCAATTAATAAAATTAAGTGAGTATGAAAGCCAAAGAAAAAAGATGTAAGACCCTATACTTTAGATGTGTGGCATTGACCAATTAAACAATGATATTTATCATACCTGTTGTTGGTCGATTACTGTCCCCGACCTCTGAGATATTCCCATTGCTATGATCATTTCTAGATTCTTGTTTTGACCAACATAAGCTCTTAGAAACCCCCTTGATCAGAGACTCGATCTCTCACTGCAAAGCTTTTTATGCCTCTATGGTATGCCTATGGTCACGATGAAAGTTGCAATACTTGTTCTTATCTCTGGTGTTAGGATGGGACTGCATCCTTGAAGGCCATTTAAGTTCCTTTAGGTCCTTGATCTCCATCAAAATGTTGGACCTGGAGGTGTTCAGATGTGTGAATGGCATTGGTGGTATGTGCTACTTCTACTTACCCTGAGCAAGGTCCTATCGTGGATTTGACTCGTGAATGCTCGAGCCTCTCATTATTTCCTTAGTGTTTATGTATTTTTCTCCTCGAGTAAGAAGCTCGACCACTGATTTAGATGTGGACATCTTGAATGCTTCACATCATATTGCATATGTAGGGGCGAAGACAGCTGCTATAATATGTAAGTCGGGTATCTGGAGCCTTTCTACATTAAACTATGTCATGAAATCGTGTAGGGTTCATTTTTCCCTTGACGAAACTGCATGAGGGATATGGTGGTTTTCCTGATGTGTTTACAACTTGCAAATAAGGTAGAGAACTTGTTAGCCAAATATGAGAATGAGGTAATGGAATTGGGCTTTAGGGTAGATAACCAATCCGTAACAATGTTAGTTAGGGTTTGTGGAAAGGCTTTGCACATCACAGGGTCTGGTACGACTTGTAATTTCATGACATTCGTGTATACATTGAGGTAATTGATGGGGTTAGTGGTCCCATTGTGCTTCTTTATACGGGGGTATTTGAATATGTCTAGTAACAGGTATGACCGTATATCCGGGTAAATGGAGTATTAGGAGTGAACCCTACTGTTCCCTGGGTATTCTGAAGTAGTTTAGCAACAATCCCATCATGTATGATCCTAGTAAGTTCACACGAGTCCATAGTAATCGACCTCAAGGCCGAGGCTATAAGAAGTATACCTGATGTTCTGATTCCACCAATATCGTGGGCAAGGCAAGGAACCCAAGCTCGAGCATCGGCCATAAAATTCCCTGGAGGTATCAGTGCTAGTGTCGGATCCGAATTCCTTCAACTTAGCAATTAAGTTAGTGTGACAACTTATTGGTGGAGCTCTTCAAATGCTTCTATGGTAATGACGATTGGTTAAGGCGTTGGTATTTCTAATTATTCCTCTTGAGGAATTGGGGAATCCATAATAGGAGGTGGGTTTGGAGCAGATGAGCTTGCTGAAGGAAGACCTGAACGTGTATTAACCATGGCTTTTGGTAATGTTTCCTATAGAAGGCTCCAATGATATTACCAGAAATCATACCTGTTTAATTTTCGAGTTTGAGGATTGAGAATGAACATGAACATAATCTTCCAGTACCTAAAACAAAGGCGTCGAGGTGTGTCCT